AAAAAAGTTTTAGAAGAAATCTCTCTATATTTGGCTTAATAGTAAAATTTACTTATAAAATTTGCAGATCCTCTCCAGATGATAAATGAATTGTCTATTAATCAAAAAGAAACTTCAATTATATGATCTTTTTAAACTAAAGAACTACTATTTCTAAAATATAATATTAGCTTATGATATTATTCTACGATGTAGCAATAAGATTTAAACAAAAAAAATAAAAAAAAAACAGATCAGTGATTATTAATACAATAAAAAATCAAATAAACCAAAAAACTTGAAACTTCTCTTCTGATATCTCTCTTCAATAAAATTTCTATTATAAAATATCTATTAAAATACATATCTTCTTTGTCATGATCTCATCTTTATGAAAAATACTATAAATTTATATTGTCAAATATCTATTAGAATATGTGTCTGCTTTGTCACGATCTTATCTTTATAAAAAATGCTATAAATATAAAAAAGCTCTACTAATGATGACCAATTGCCTTTTCTTATATTACAATTTTATCTGAATCAGACTTACTTTTGCTATCATAAAATTCTATAATACTTCTTTTGCTTTTTATAAAGCATGTCCTCTATTTTTACTGCCTTTTGCTTTATTAAGACTATTAGCAGTAACAATAAATTCTTAAGTGGGACTGCATTATATCATGCAAGTGACAATGAAGATATTTTTAGAGAATTCACTTTTAAAAATTTTACTGGAAATGCTGAAACTTTGATTATTGATTTTGAAAAAAATTCTATCATACTCATGATTGGAAGATATGTCTATCATGAAAGCATCGAATATGTAAATTCTCTTAAATTATTCAAAATTAATTAATTACTTTATATACCTCACCCTTTACTCCAATAAATTAACTATACTTCCCATTTTTAGCTCTGTCTTATTCAAACTATCTCAATTTCTTTATCTCATCCTAACTCTGTATACGTATCAAAAGACCTTTCTTATGCTTTTTTTTTGTTACTTTTTACTGCACCTGCAGTAACTAATTTTTATAAATTTAATACTTCTATTGAAAGACAAAGTTTTATGTTATCTAAGAAACTTTATAACCCTATAACTGGACAAAAAGACATTGAATTAGATGTAATTGTATCCTATACTAACCCAAATGGTCATTATGATTTACTTAAAAATAGCTTAAAGAAAAGTATTATCTCAGCAATTGGAAAATTAAAACTTAATCCTACTAGTAAAATCTCTCATATAATCTCTTCTGAAATTAAGTGGAGTTATGTTGCGAATGAACCAAAATTTTTAAGCCAATTATTAGCTAAAAAAGCAAAATCTATTAAAGAATTTAATAACCAACTTGATATCATTGAAAAACAATATACTACTATAAATTCTCAAACCTCAAATAAAAAAAGAAAAGTTGGTCTTTTCTTCTTTGGCTCAAAATCTTCCAATGAAAAGGCCCCTACTATAGACCTTACTACTCTCATAAGTCAAATTTGAACTACCAAAACTGAATTACAACAATCTCCTGAACAATTCTCTAACAATAATTAAATAAATTTATTAAAACTTTTGTTGTAAATTTATTTTTAAACAAATAAAAAACTGAATTCTTATTGAATTACTTATCTTTAACTAAACTATTTGATTCTCCATATATGTTAAACTATAATCTTATATCCTCGTACTTATATTGCTTTTAATATAATTCAGTACTACATCCAAAAAATTTGCTCATCCACTTATCTATAACTTACCATACCCAATTACTAATAAATTTAAACTTAAATAAAACATTGCTATCTTCTCAAATTTTTTCTAAGTAATTAAGATATTCATATAAAAATTAATAAATTAATAAAGTTAACAACAATCTTATTTATGAACTAAACTCATAACTATTTATTAATACCCTGATTTAATAAGTAGGAGTATTACTCATAAGAATACTACCTGCAATATTACATAATAAAATGAATATTTTCATATTTTGCTAACTCTAAAATGCTAATAACGCAATTAAAAAAGTTACATTAATAAAACAAAATAATTTTTTTATAAATACTCTCACTACTCTGTGTTTTTCTATAATTCTTTCAATTTGAATTAGTCCTTTTAACTATATTTCTATATTAATCTACATTATGCCAAATTATCAAATTCATAGTTTTCAACTTATTACTTTTACCAATAATTTAATCCAAAATACTGAATTACCTGACTCTTCTCATAATACCAATATATTTAACTTTTACCTTTTTAGATTTGAAATAAATCAAAACTCATCAAATACTTCTAATCCTGACAATAACTATATATTCCCAAATATTATCTTACCTTAACTATTAATACCATTCTTTTCTCTCAAAGAACTGATCTACAAAAACTTCTACTTGAATTTCAAACTAAAATCTTGATTGATCACCCTTCTATTCCTTGTATATACTGCTCAATATTATTATTAAAATCTTCAGCACAATGGATTACTTATAATGATACTGAAACCTATCCTTTAACTTATGTTTTTAATATTTCTATCCAAACCCGAGTGAATAATCAAAATACTACAAAAGACGCTGTTTGCTGTGGTTGTAAAAAACAAACTACTAGATGATACCTACCAATATTAATACTAATTTCTTCTAAAATTCAAAATGTCTCAATGATATATAGAAAATATCTCTCTCTGATTTATATGAATTGTTTATGAAGTCACTCTCCAAGCACTAACTATTATACTAACTACCATTATCTAAAAGGATTAATAAGAATTACTTACAACTATAGATCTATGCAAATATACTCAGGCTTAATCAGTGCTTATCTAAATACTAATAAACCTCTATATTGGTTTCATCATTCTTTAATTCCAGCTTCAGAATGATTAAAACAAAACAACATTCTTATTAAAAAATATTATTTAAATCTAATAACCACACTTCCAACTCCTGAGTCTTCTGTACCAGTTCTTTTACCTTTAGCATACCAATCATTTAATAATAACTTATCTACTAATTCCTATCGCACCCGTCTTTCTGACGATACTTCATGTCTTCTTGATTTAGTCATTTCTAACTACCCGTTCCCACGTGAAATTAATGACCAACATACTTATCATATCTGATTAATTGCAGCTTCTCTACCCCTTAACAATAATTCAAATCTTCCTATTCTCTTTAATAACCCAGATTTAGAAGCTTTTATTTTTCTCAACTTATTTTCTAATAGTAAAGACCACTATGAAGATATTAAAAGATGCTTAAATCTTCAACCTTCTATCGACTCTTACAAAAAATATATAAAATTAAGAATGCTTTGCCTGATCCTCGCTTTTGCTTACACTAGTATTGGCCACATTGGTTCTATCAAACTCTTGAAAAAAATATCACTTTCAAAATTACCATCATTTACTCTTTACTCGATTTGTTAACCGTCAATACCATCCAACAAGAGTTGATCTAATCTCTACAAGCTCCTACAATAATCAACCCATTTTCGACAAATTGAAAACTACTACTATCCCCTCTTATCTAAGAACCACTGCTCCATTTTTCAAAAAAAACAACTTCAAGTTTATACTATGATACAAGCTTACGACTTACCTCAAGTCTTTTATACTATGACCATAGCTAAAGATAAATAGCCACAATTATGTTCGATCTTACTCTCTACTGATAACCAAAATACTCTACCTACTAATCATCCTCTACACGTCTACTTATTTTACTGCAATTATCTAAACAATATCTGAAATAAATTGTGGAAAAATTCAAAATTAATGAGCTAGGAAAAATAGAAACACTTTTTTGAATATAATAAATTTCAAATAGAGGTACTATCCATATATATGGTTTTGTTTACATAGAAAAAAAATGCTTGAGCTCATCTCTCTAAATATAATTCATGCTGACGTTCTGGATCAACATATAGAGCCTGGTCTATATCGTTTAGTCACAACCTTCCAAATTTATTATTGTGATCGCAGGTATTTTTACATCTTACTTAATAAACTCAACTAATCAAGTTTTTAATTACCCAATTAGTTACAGTTAATTACTTAACAAAATTAAATAATTAATTTTCAATCACTTACTTGCAATAAATCAATTAATCTTTTACTCTATTAATCGCTTAATTGAATCTTTTATTGCAATGTGCCAAAATTAGAGTTGTTAATAGTGTAGTGGGTTTAAAATTATATCTTAAATTTGGAACAACCTGAAGCAACCCAGAGTACTATGTAGCAACCTGAGCTAAATATTGGAGTAATAATAATTTTTCAAACCAACCGAACTCATTAACAACCCTAGCCAAAATTATATGAAATTTGAAGATCATTTTACAAAAATAAGAATTGTGTATTATAATATTCAATTAAATTTTTACAAATAAAAAATGCAAAAATTTTGTTTAAACAAAACTCAAAAAAAATATCAAAGAAATTTGAAATTAGTACTCCAAATTAGTAATATTTTTCTTTTAATGTTCTTTAAATTTCACATAATTTTACAACCTGCAAATATTAAACAATTATTTAATTAATCAATTCCCATTTAATTCAAATTTTAAAGATTAAATAATTATTTAATCTCTAATAACCCCAACTAATTTTTTGTTTTTTATTCTTTTTTCTATTCAAAGATGCCCACATAGCCACTCTGACAAACAGTGCTCTAAAGACTTCTCTCAACTCCTCTCTGAACTTACTTATTGTATACCAAATAGCCTTCGGTTTATCTATCATCACACAAAAGAAGAAGTTAAAATAGTTGTTCTTTATAATTCTAAAATACTAATTATATAGAGAGGACATATTAATTTTAATACATAACTTCTAATAGATTTGCAAAATACATAACCAAATATATAATAAAACTTGAACCTAGTGAGCTCTTTGATATTAACGAACAAGATGATTATAGGAGGCATGTATAGCCTAACGATTAGGAGCTATGGAACTAATAGGTCTTTTGCTCCAATATCCCTTGACAAGATGCTCTGTCTCTGTGCACTATCTTTCTTCCACTTCCTTCTAACTTAAACCACAATCAGTTAAATCTATTTACTTACTTATATCCATAAATGATACAAAAAATGATGATGAAACTAATAATGATCTCCTTTACTGGGATGACACTATAGACAAATATTTTGACTGATCTGATCATAAACTTTTCAATAATATTACTTATCCTGATTACTTTCGTCTTTATACTATTGCATCCAGGCAACCTTTACAAAATTTCTGTTTATTCTATGCCAGAGACCATAAGAATAGATTAGTCATTCAAAAAAAACCCCCTATCCTTTTAAGATTAACATTTTATAAAATAGAAGATGGTGAATCTTTTTTTTTCAATATCGTCTTTTCAAATTTGTCACTAGATCAAAGCAAGATCTTCTCACCAGATTTAACACCTACAAAGACCATTTTGTAGCAACTTTTCCAATAAGATTCTGTCAAGAAATTGATGCCCAAAAAAATAGTTACCTATATAAAAAAACTTCTCTATCAAATTCATATATTATTATATTAAGTTCTCTATTACAAGACCTAAAAAGTCACGATTTATTTGATCTAATTCTAAACCAATTTCTATCCTTAAAAAAACATCATCTTTACCTTACCTCACACTTCTTCTTAACTCTTGACAACAAACAATACAAAGTATATTTGATCCTATCTAATATATAGGGCCCTTTCTTTACTAGAAAATATTCTTATTTTTTTCTTACAGAATCTGCAGGAACAGGAAAAAGTTTTTTATTATATCAAATAATTCATTATTGATAATTAAAAAACTTACTCTACTTACTCATAGCTTTCACTGGTGTAGCCACCTACAATATCAGTAGAAAAACTATACATTCCTTATTAAAAATTAGATTTCATGATGGTCACTATGAATCCTTAATTCACACAAACACCGATAACAAAACTTACCTCAAAAAAATAGAATTTATAATTATAGAAGAAATCTCAATGGTAGATAGAGACCTTTTTATATTCACTTGTAATACTTTCATCAGAATCTATAATAACATTCGTATTTTTGGAGGAATATCTACTTTAGTAGTAGGCGATCTTGCTTAACTACCACCCGTCAATCTAACTTATATTTTTCAATCCTCTGCTTGGTCTCCTTTCTTTCCTCTATCCTACAGAGACAACATGATAATATTGACTTCTACAACATACTACAAAAAATATACACTAGAAGACTATCTGAATGATTGCTTACCATCATCTATTTAAATATTAATACAAATAACACTCCCACCCAATTTTATGATATTACACATATTATAGACACTCATCTTGAGGCCCAAAACATAAATCGTCTCCTATATACCTACTTTCTCTTCGACCAAGAAGACTCAAAACCTATTTTATCACTAGCTGAAGACACACTTGACTTTGAACCCCTAAATCATAATCATAATTACTCTCAATTCAAATATTTAACAAATCTATCTTCTTTATTACATCTCCAAGAAGA